ATGCTGCAAATAGAAAGCATCGACACGCGGCAGCGATGTGACAAGAGACAACCTCTGGCAAAGAGGCTATGCTACAGTACAGTACAGTACAGTACAGTACAGTATGGAATTCGCGCGCAGTCACGAATCCTCGAGAGGGACCCCCGCCAGTCGACCGGGTGCTCACTTCTCAATTTACCGACTCAACTATAAGTCATTCCATCCGCCAAAGCAAAGCCCAAGAAGAATACGTCTATTCCTCGCTCTGATGATTGCAGTGGCTGTCCTTGCATCTTGCAACGCTCTGCCGACTAATATTTATGCTGAAACGAGGCTGCTGAGATCAATGAAGACAGCTGCCAACCATGACGCGGCAGCAGAAGAACGTGGCGCCTTCTCGTACCAGTTCAATTTCAACCTTTTGGATGACATTTTACACAGTTTGCCCGATCAATTCAAGAGAATAAAAGACGAGCCAGAATTTTTAAGATTCATCTTTGCCTCGTGGAAATCGGGATTTGGGACCTCAAAAGAAGCTGTCGCCTTCATGAAATCCCAAGGTCTAAATGAAAAGGCGATCAAACAATTCAAGGCGGCATATAAGGCGTACCTCGCCCACAAACGTTTATAAAGATCCCTGTAACGGATCAACTATTAATCTCAGTGCCCAGTATTCTTGTTTGGTCTTTTGGAAAATGGAGAACAGTATAAATTGTCTGTAACTTGGTAGCTCTGAAGACTTATATAACTATACACGATGTTTGAAAGCAAGTTTGTCTGTTTGTTTTTATAGTACTCTCAGCCGCCCTATTTAATGATTTCACCTTCATCGATCATCCCCCAGGCAATCTTGGTCCTGTAGGTTAAATTAGTGTATTAACGTATGTTATGGTTCTTATTAGAAAGAGTTTTGCTGTAGCTCGGCGTAATAGGTTACAGATTACACCGTTCACGCTAACTATTAATAGTCGTCGTTCGCAATTAGTCGTGGATTTGCACTTTAGTGACATCACAAATTCGAGATATTCGACAAATTTGATCAAATCTAAAGAAAAAGACCGGTTTTCAGCAGGTCTTATCGGGCTCTATGTTCCAGTATGCTCGGTTTAAAAAGTAGACCGGTAGCTCTTACAAAATAGACAACTGAAATACCAGTACGATCTGTACACCACAATTAGTCAGGGTATAACTAATTAGCGTGAACAGTGTACAGATTTGGTTAAGGCTTGGTTCAGTGACATAAAATTGTTGAGCAGAAAGACTTTATGTAAATATGGTTTTGAGATTTATCCCTTCGTCACTCAGCAAGAGAGAGACCTAATACACCACATTTCTTCTTACCACAAATACCGTGCGCTGCCCGGGAAGATCTGGATATTGCTGTTTTCTCAATACATTTTCTTCGTATAAGTAACCAAAAAACCAAGATACTCCACAAGCAATGTGCTTGTTCGTTTCCTTCATTTAGTAAACGCTAACGTACCATGAGCGAAGTATGTACTAGTTTCAGCAAACTAATGGACCCCTACCGGAAAATACGATTTCTCGAACGCCAAGTCTCTCTCTCGTTGCTGAAAGCAAGAGTCGCATAGCGAGTCCCTCTTTACTGACTCAAATCTCAGTTTCGTCGGCCACTACCGTTCCTGGGGCTGTAGTGCTATTAATACCATCGTGGCTTCGTTGCGAAGAGTTGGCAACAGCGTTCTTGTCCGACTGGGTCAACATTTACATGCTATTAACGGACGCGCCCTATTAGAGTCCGGACTATATTTAATAGTGCCGCCCGAAAGTGACAGAGAGGACTTTATTGGATATAAACCACGACGAGGGGTCTCTCGAGAAGCCTGCTATTTCAACGCTCCGCATGATTGTTGCCTCATCCGTGTCTCGCCACGCGCGGAGGCCCCAATCGCAAACGGTGCCAACACTTGGCATACGTGGGTTACCAAAGCGAGTGTATTCGACTCGGTCTGACTCTTTCCAAGCGTTAATTTCCATGTACAGTAGGTCCTTGAAACGACATATTTAATCCACTTGATCACCTCTTGCTTACGCCCAATGCTAACTGACTACCTTTGATGAGGCATTATTGGAAATGACGGGAAAGCGTTTCTCTCTGTAGAATGGATGGTCAGCAAGTTTGTAATAGCAGATTTGGTAAGGACTCTATTCAGGAGGGGCTTGTGTTTAATAGTGCAGGCATGTAGCACCCCACAGGAAACTATTCGGTAGGGGGCTTTTATTCGGTAATAACCCATTCTGAGGTAAGGTTTCTTATTTCATTACGTATTGCGACCAGGGTTGGGAAATAGTGGTCAGTATGCTGCTACTAATAATACGGAAGTAGTGCTATTAGTACTAATAGCAGTAGCTGTAAATCTACATTACTTTTGCTTAGTAGTGAGATAGCTGGTAATATTTGTGCTTTAGCAGTACTAGTGCAAATTGATCTACAGTACTAACCGCGAGTAAAGTTTTCGACTGCCGGCTCTCACGACTCTATCTCAGTCTGGTTTTGCTGCGCCTCAGCCACAACAGATGAGGCCGACCGCTGCTGGCAGGACGTGCGTTTGCGGCCGGAAAGATAATCATATTTGCAGCAACGAGCCCTTAGGCGCCATGCTTTGTGTGTCTTTATGATGGAGCTTCTTCATGTCTATTAATAGCACCGTGTATATTCAACAGAGCTATGCATGCTAATGCTACTGAGGGATGCGCTGCTGCAGCAAGGCATGTAAAAATAAAAGCATATTATTATGGGAATCTGCATTGCCCTGCCGAAAAACTACAAGAAGTAACTACGCCCGAATGCGAACGGATGCATCTCCGGCACAGCCGGCACAAAGTTGACAATCTTCTCCTTCACCTCGGGTGTGATCTTGCCAACAAATGCCATCGCCTCTAAGTTTTCCTTCAGCTGCGAGGGGCGACTGGCCCTACCAGCACCGTCGACACGTTTTCGCTCGCAACAGCCCAGGCGATCGACATTTACGGCAGTGAACAGCCCAGCTCTTCAGCAATTGGCTTCAGCTTGTTCGCTACCCTCACGCGTCCTTTAAAGCCGGCACTGTACGGCCGGTCGAGAACTTGGCGGTCGTGAAGCGAGTGCCATCCGGCACGTCAGAGCTGTACTAACCTGTAGAATGCCAGCGGAGACCACGTCGTAAGGCCAAGTTTGTACTTTTTGTACAGGTCGACGTAGGCATACTCTACGCGAGAGTGCTCGAAGATGTTGTACTGGGACTTGGGTCGGATAAGGTTGAGACGGTCGGCGATCTCGCAGGCCTCGTTGATCTGCGAAGGGAGCCACTCGCTGGTTCCCCAATAGAAGGCCCAGCCCTTGTTGATGACATAGTTCATGGCACGCACAGTCTCCTCGACAGGCGTGAAAGGGTCAGGTCGGTGGCAGAAAATGACGTCCACGTAGTCGAGACCCAGACGCCCGAGAGACGCCTGTGTGCCTTCCAAGATGTGCTTTCGAGTGCTCCCTTGCCCATTGGTTCCTGCTGTCGCCATGTCCTTGCATCCGAAGAAAATCTTGGTGGAGATAATCAGATCTTCACGGCTGAAGACGCCCTCATGGACTCCCTTTTGGATGGCACCACCCAGTAGCTTCTCCGACTGCCCCAAGCCACACACTTCGGCCGTGTCGATGAAGTTCACGCCTTCGAATGCAGTCTTGATAATTTCGCACCACATGTCCACCGTGTATTTTTCATCGAACTCCATACAGGAACCGAGCACAAGCTTCGATGCCTACCCAGAAAGCGGTGGGTCATCTCTGTTGGCACTGCGGGCATGATGGAACTCTTTTGCTGGAGGAGCGTATACCAAGTATCCGGATAGCAGTACAAAAGCAGAATGAGATTAAAACCTCGTTATTAAAAAGAAATCGATAGCCCCCATGAACAAAAAGTGATCACGAGCCGAAGAGTTGAGTTGGCTCATCAACGAAAGTGATGATGTTATGTAGCCATGTGTACTTCAACATGTTATGTGAGCCACTCCATCTTGTTTTCTCCAATCACCGCTCTCTAACCTCTCCGCCAGTCACACTCCCCAATAACGCGTCATTAAATGGAAGCCAAGGTAAGTTTCCATGTGCGGCGTTATCTGCGCGAGTGCGAGGAGCGCGGCGCGCGACCCAGCGAGCTGACCGTCACCTCGCACCTGCGTGAGACATACGCTGAGTACCAGCGAAAGCCTCAGGGCGCGCTGCGTAAAGTTGTGGCCAAAGTGATGAAGAAGGCGCAACCCAGTGGCGGTGAGACGCCCAAGCGCTCGCGCTCCGAAAGCGGCAGCGACGACGAAGCGCAGCTCCGAGCGATGGAACAGCAACAGGCGGCAGGAGGCGCCGGAAACTCGCTGAATCGCGCCATGCAGCAGAAATACGCGGACCAAACCGCTGACAAACCGCCGGCCGTGAAGAAGGTTAAAATACTCCGGAAACGCGTTAAAAAGGAGGACGAGAGCACAGAGATGGACGAAAACCGAGGCTTCGTGGTGGAGCGACCCAGTGCGAGATACAGCGACGTCGGAGGCATCCAGAGCATTCTACAGGAGGTGAGGGAGCTCATCGAGTACCCTCTGACGCACCCAGAAGTGTACGCGCATCTGGGCGTGGAGCCTCCTCGAGGCGTCCTACTCCATGGCCCACCAGGCACAGGCAAGTCGATGTTGGCGCATGCGATTGCAGGGGAATGTGGCGCGACGTTCCTGAAGATCTCGGCGCCCGAAGTCGTGTCGGGTATGTCGGGCGAGTCGGAGCAGAAGCTGCGAGAGCTGTTCGATGAAGCCATCAGTAGAGCCCCGTCCATAATCTTCATTGACGAGATCGACGCTATTACGCCCAAGAGAGAGACGTCAGCACGTGGCATGGAGAAGAGAATTGTGGCCCAGTTGCTGACCAGCACCGACTCGCTGAGTCTGGAGAATACCGGTGGCAAACCGGTGATTCTGATTGGCGCGACCAATCGACCGGACGCGTTGGACTCGGCGCTGCGTCGAGCTGGACGCTTTGACCGTGAGATTTGTCTGGGGATTCCCGACGAGGAGGCGAGGGAGAAGATTTTACGAGTGCTGGCCAGGAAGATGACGCTGGAGGGAGAGTTCGACTTTGCAGCGCTGGCTCGACGGACTCCTGGATACGTTGGAGCGGACCTGGTTTCGCTGACGAAAGAGGCGGCGGTGGGAGCTGTGAATCGCATCTTCACGAACATTAACGCGGTGAAGACACTGGCAGCGGAGGTGGACGTGTCCGCGGAGACTGAGACGTCAGATGCAGGCACGAGTGACGACGCGATGGAGGTAGAGAAGACGCAGGAGAAGACGGCAGCCGATAGCGAGGAGGCTGCGTCGGCGGCTGATGATCTACGAGCTCAGGTGGAGCCATTCACAGAGGCCCAATTGGCTCCTCTTAGCATTACTATGGCCGACTTTGACGCTGCAATCCCCAAAGTCCAGCCTAGTTCGAAGCGTGAGGGCTTTGCTACGATTCCGGATGTGACGTGGGATGACATTGGTGCTCTTAACGAGGTGCGCGACGAGCTGTCGCTTGCAGTCTTGCAGCCTATTGCGCATCCGGAGCGCTTTGCGGCTCTTGGGCTGTCTATGCCTGCTGGTGTGTTGCTGTACGGACCTCCTGGCTGTGGTAAGACGCTGCTGGCGAAGGCCATCGCACACGAAAGTGGCGCCAACTTCATTAGCATCAAAGGGCCAGAGCTTCTCGACAAGTACGTGGGCGAGTCGGAGCGGTCTGTGCGCCAAGTCTTCCAGAGGGCTCGTGCGTCGTCTCCGTGTGTCGTGTTCTTCGATGAGCTGGATGCGTTGGCGCCTCGACGCTCCGGTGGCGCTGGTGGCGATGCTGGAGGCAACGGCGTTAGCGAGCGTGTGGTGAACCAGCTTCTGACCGAGATGGATGGCTTGGACATCCGGCGCAACGTGTTTGTGATTGCCGCCACGAATCGCCCGGACATCATCGACCCTGCGATGCTGCGTCCTGGTCGTCTGGACAAGCTGCTGTATGTGCCACTGCCCCAGGCATCGGAGCGCCACCAGATCCTCAAAACCGTCTCGTCAAAGTGTGCGATGGCTTCGTCAGTTCAGCTCGAGGCCATCGCTGCCGACCCTCGTTGCGAGGGCTTCAGTGGAGCCGACCTGAGCGCGTTGGTGCGTGAAGCTGGCATCACCGCCTTGCGCGAGACGGATTTCTCGAGACTCGACGCTGGCGCTGCAACACTGGGGATCGAGCATCACCATTTCATCAGCGCGTTCGACCGCGTGTTCCCTTCGGTATCGCGTGCGGATCAGCGAATGTTTGACCGGATGAAGAAGAATCTTCGCAAATCTCGCTCGGCGATGGCTCGGAGCGCGAGTAGCACAGCTGTGGCCTCAGGTCAAAGTGCTCAGAGTGAGGGAGACGCCGCGAAGGTCAATGCAGATGCACAAAGCGATGTCGATATGATTGAGGGCAAACAGTAGAGTTTTATTTGCTGTTGCTGCCAGCATGGTGCGTTAGAAATAGACCTTGCGCTCGGTAACTTAGACACTTTATGGGAAACATGTTTCCATTTACAAGTACCCATAAATGAGAAGCTCTCAAGAGCTGACACTCACGTGTGGCCCATCAACGACTTGGATTGTGCGCTTTTCGTGCCGGCAGCGTGAGCAATTCCCGTTTACGATTAAGTCCATGTCTCGTAAATAGAAGAGCAGTCACTTTTGAAATTACTATTGAGATGAAATGCACCACCAAACTTCGAAGCTCAATTTCTCCCGAAATACTATTCCGAGTTTCAAACCCTTTTTTTTCTGCAAAGCTCCGTGTTTTCTCTATAAGCTGTGTGCTTCTTTGCTTTTAACTTATTGTGCTTTCCGCAATACTATGCTGTAAAACGTATCCTTGATGGACTCAAAAAAAAGAGAAACTATTGCTTTCACATTACATTACGTTTCGGCACTATAGACTCTCTGCAGCACCGTAAACTCTGGGCAGCACAAAACTTTACGGTACCAGCACAAATAAATGGGCTGTCTTTGATCTCCCGGGATGTACAGCAAGAAGATCAGAAGCAACCAATCAGAGGCTTACCGTATCACCTAGCAAATATATGTCGACTAAATTTTGTTCTCACCAATAAATGGGTGGACCTATAAATACGACTTACAGTTTCGTGTGGTTCACACTGTTTGCGTTGTAAGCCGAAGCAAATTCCCTGGACCGAGTGTGTGCTCGCCGCTGACGCGCGTGACGCCGAGCTTATTCTCGACGCACTAAAGACCTTCGATGTGGGAAAGAGTAATACAATGGCGAGTATAGTGTGCAACGACGCGGACGTACACAAGATGCGTTACAGGCTAATGCAGTGCAGCTCCGACTCATGCGGTGAAGCCTCCGAGCTGCCGTGCACGTGGCGCGGAAAGATGCTAACATGCCTCGCCACCAACCACGTCTCTGTATTCGAGTTTGGCGCGCATTCCACGGAAGCCATGTCCCCGAAAAAGAAAAAGGTCACGTCGTCTCACAAGACGTACTACAAAGAGATGGCCGAGCACAATTTGCGGCCTTTGCGAATCCGACACGCGCTTGCCAGAAACTTTCAGACGTCTTTAGAGAATCTACCACCACTCCGTGTTTTCCAGAACGTTTTTAACCACTATAGTCGAGCTCGTTTGGAGAACCGCGACCTTGTCGATGAGATAAGGGAGTGGGTTCATTCGAGGACTTTTCGTGGAGACGAGGGTATGGATCAGGCGTTCACATTTGGATGGGACCTTGATCGTGAAGGAAAACCTATAGTTGGAGACGGCTCCGACGAGCAGCCATTCGTTGTTGGAATATCTGCGAAGGCATTTATGTTGCGAATGCTGCTACCACCTGACGGGAGTAAACTTGCTCCCGCAGCTGGAAAAATCGGGGCTCATCGCGCACGAAGTAAAGATCGTAGATAGAACGAAGTATCCCAGCCAAGACAACCGAGGGGAAGCTCTTAATTGCTTTCATAGCGTTTTTAATAACGTGAAAAAAAAACACTAGAAACTGAAACTCAGAGCAGTGTCCGAACACGCGGTACAGAGAGTTGTACTGCGCTTTGTCAGCGTCGGCCATGACATAACGCACTACTAACTCTCTCTGGGTTAGAGCTTAGTACATTCGGCGTAACGATAGCAGAGTAGTTTCAAATACCGCTTGAGTTTCTTGTGATACTATAAATATAGCAACGACGTGAAATCTGGGGGGGGGGGGTCAGAGATGCCGACGACCCCGACTGGGTAGCCGCGATGATCGGTCCTGTAGGCTGCGTCGATATGTAAAATGAAAGACGTGGCTCTCCAATGTATACCTCAGTGGATTTGTGGACTACATGAAGGACCAGTGGTTTTATGGGAATTATTCAGCGTGGCAGGCGTTCCGCACTCCTAGTGGATTCGCCTCCACTAACAACCCAGCTGAAACTTTCAATGCATTATTGAAAAGAGACTACACTCTACAGTGCAGACTAAAGATGGGAACGCTGCTGCGGGAACTTAGTGGCTGTTGTCACGATCTGGCACAAACCGCTCGCCCGTTCAGCTTCGACATCTCAAAACCAGAGACCCTCACACGTAGGGCATCCGAAATGGTGCGAGCTAATCTGATAGGGACTGTTCAAGGCATGGCGCCTCACTATGCGTATACTTGGGGGCCTCTTGTGCTTCGTGTGGTGTCCTCATTAGCGAAGCGTGTTCAAGTTTCACCTCACAAAAGAACAGAGGAGGGAATAGCGGTATCGGCTCAGATGGGCGTCAATTACGCTCGAATGGAAGTTGAGGGCCAGCCATGGGGCGGCTGGCCCGTTGACATCCTATCGAAGTGGTGTCCGTGCGGCTACTGTTTTGCGTTCGGTGTGTGTACACGTTGTGTACGCACTGCGTACGACCGACCCCGCTGATTGCAGGGGAAGAAAGGTGTTCGTAAACAGGAACAAGCGCATACGGGGAGGCAATTGCCAGGATAACACTGTCGGGCGCCCTCCTTTGGCAGGCCCAGCACTTTCTTATCAGCAACGCAGAAGGCCCATGAGGTCTAAGTATGCCCTCAAATTTGTCCCAATCATCCAGACTGATGAAGAAGCACATTATCTACGTAAGGATTTGATCTTATCTCCGCTGCTTTTAAAGTGAATAGATCGATAAATTATCAACACTTGACGTTCGAAGCAAATGAGTTTTTTTTGGTTAAAAACCCATTTTCCCCAATATGCATATTAACATTTAGTTTACATGCGTCTAAAAGTCATAGGTCTCCACGTCGTTTAGAACCATTGGTATTTATCTATGCCCCTTGTCTTAATGAGCTAAATCTATACGAGAAAACCTCCGATTCCTTTTTTATGGCACGAAATCTGTCAATTTTTAGCTAGACTCGTCGCCCTCAATCTCGTTATCGTGTTGGAACCAGCAAACATCACACGCGCACCTGAACCACCTCTGCGATTTATAGCTCACCGTTATCGGGGCGCCTGCTTTCACGTCTTTAATCATCTTCACTAACACCTTTACGTGTGATCTGTTCTGCATTCAGACGAAGGCAGCATTGGGCTCACACGCGTGACTGATAAACCTGGTTATCATGCCATATTCTAGTGCCTCCACATACACGTATTTGCCGGTAGACGACAGGTTGTTGTACAACATGGTGGAGCCACTGTTTTGTTTCAGCGCTTGATTTGGTTGCCCTTTTCTGAGGCCTTCGTATTCGCACAGCATGCCGACGTACTCACCAACTACATCCCCGACGTCTAGCTCGGTGGTCGTGAACACACCGAGGCCTACACGGCCAGTGTCGTACAATTTCAGGGTGGATCGAGTTCTAGGTGAGCTGCTACAAATTGCGTTCAACTTGCATGAATCAGGTGTATAGTACAATGCCGAGAATGCATTTGTGCAACTGTCCATGAAGCAGTCCCCCATACAAGCACAGAGGCCGCAATCTCCTATATCCTTGAACGTTATCCCTGTTGGGTTCAAATGTTCGTTGATACATCCAACTACCTCGGGCCATTGGACTTCTGTCGGGGTGTGGGAGTCGTCTTCCGTAGCCTCGACGTAAATTATTCGACAAGCATACAAATTGCGCAGTCTAGATTTAACCCCAGGAAGCCGCAACACGGTCTTCGCTTTCTAAAGAGTGGGCATGGTAGATCTGGGATCCACTGCGTGTGATTGCGCACCCCTGTTGGTGTCTTCTTTTGCGTGAGCGAGGCACAAACCACGTACCGCTTCTTTGCTTTGCTTGATGGCGGATCTTCTCACGCATCCAACGTGTAGGAACGGAGCTGATGTAGTTATCGGCTGCAAGAAGTTCGGCATCGGTTGGATCCCCGTCAACACTATCTTAAACACTTTCCTCGTTCATAATTATTCTCTCGCCCGTCTTCTCCAGCTCCAGACCCTCTTTACACGTGGTGTGCGACGCAGGGGAAACCGCTGCCCCATCACCGGCGACGAATTCAGCGTTTTGGCTACACGTCAGGTCAATCAAGTGTCCAGCTTAAATTTCCTCGCATACAGTGTGCTCTTTACTACCTTTTGCAGCTGCTCCACATTTCGTTTGCGTATGGACGACAGTTTCCAGAGAGCTGGGGGCTGTTTCATTATGAGATTGACGGTCACTACGTGCTAAATTGACTTCGGCGCCTAGGGAGTGTCGATAAGATTTTTCCGCAGACTCAGCTCGCAGGGTTTCACGCACTGCATCGACTGTAGCATCGACTGCAGCACTTCAAGCTTTTCTGAGTGCGCTGGTTTGAGTAGGGCGCCGGACCTTTCCTGGCTTTAGCTTGTACGTTCTCAATTTTCGCCACTTGACCTCCTCGACGCTTAGATCACTGCCTGCACTGTTCCGTCGACGACGCATAAAGTTTGAAAGGGGCAACGCCTCCCCGGTATCCAAACTCACGGGTAGGAGGTTGTCTGGGCTGTCGTCGACAGCCAAGACGACAGACTCACGAAGGCCCCGCGAATCGCCGCACATAAAACGACGGCTGTAGTACTTGATCAGTTCTCCTGCGCATAACTCTTCTGAAGGGAGTTCCTCCAGGCTCAAGCCGAACATCGCGCACGAGCGACTTCTGGCCTGCAGAGACGGAGTCCTCGGTGCTGACACCGTTGGATGATACGAGGAGTAGATATGCAGGACGATTACGTAAAGTAGTACGATCCTAACGTTACTCGAATTTTTTAAGTTACATCACAGATACTTCAACTTCATTTACTTCACCCTTACTTTATTACGATCACTTATGAGGTACTTTTGTGCCGTCCAAGGTACAGTGTGCGCCGTGATGAGTCCTGTGGTACAAGCGCTGAGCTACTAAAAAGGCCACTCAGCCCGGTTGGTTTCTGTCTTTTTGTGTCCGGCATTGTTGTGTTGGTCAGGCCTGGTCGTGTGTTTTTAATGTTTTCTCAGCAAAAAACCGAGGCTATATCACACCATATGGTCACCACATCGTCACCGGACGGCGGAGCTTCTGCAGATAAACTACGACATCTCTAAGATTTAATAAGCGGAAGCGCAAATTTATTGTGAAACGTTATACTTAAATAGAGTGTCATAGCTGGCGTTCGTCGCTGGCTCACCCGCTAGGTCTCTCAGCACTTCGCGCGTTGGCGTAGGAATCGTCTCCGGTGCTGGTGCTTGCGATTCTTCAATGTAGGCATTCTCTTGTCGTTGGACCTTCTTATAGGCACCGATCCACTCGTGCTTAGTTATTGCGGCTAAGCCTTCTCCAACCTTATCACCTAAGTCGTCCAGCGAAGCGGTTGGATCGAGTGCAATGCGGTTCTTCAGCGCCCCCCAAATCATCTCAATAGGTTGTAGCTCAGCATGATACGGGGGCGTATACAGAACTTCGTGGTCATACTCCCTAGCCGTTACAACCGCCTTGTAAATAGGTGCTGGTCGCACCTACAGTTTTATAAAGTTAAGTCAGTATTATTTAATAATAACTGGAATTTTTAATAAAATGGCACAAAATAACACCTGTGCAAAAACAGCACGCAATTGCTTTCTTGTGTACTGTAGTTACTTGGTACAGTGAAGCCCTGTCCCTGCAGCCATTCGATGAGCTCAGCTCTGCGTGCGTTGCTTGGTGGAGGTGCGTTAAATTGAATCTTGTGGGGGGACGCACCGTCCAAATGGATACGACAAGGCCCATACACTAGCAGTAGAGCAGCACACAGTCTTTCAAGCCATTGGTTGAAAAGGCCGCCATTGAAGTTGTCGTGATAATCGGCGTCATTGGCCTTGTAGGGAGACGGCCAAAACTCGAGAGACTCGGGCACCCACTCCGCATGCAACTTTCCATTCTTCGTGTACACTGCACCAGCACCGACAATGCAATAACGCTGACCCTTACCGCTTGTTGTGTAATGAGAAGAGTTCTTGAGCAGCCACGTCGATCCCTCAACATGATTTACGTTGCAAAAGCTCTCATTTAAATATATTTCTGGATAATTTGGGCATCTTCGTGCGTTTAAGTTTAAAACTTGTTTTTGCAAGTAGACACTCATAAAAGAAATGTTACCTTCCGTGTCCGCCCGCGGGTCACGCGAGCGTCCCCGAATAGAACTTACATCCATTCGTTGAGGTTCATCTCGCATTGTGCGCGGCGGGATAAATTTACCTGTCTTCTTTTTTACCTCTGCTACCGAGATATTTGATGCGTTGGCAGCTTTGACACATTACGTTCATTTATGATGTCGGATATATTACATTGACGTTGTCCCGCCTCTGATCTTGGAGGACAACCGCGAGACCCGAAATCCGCTGTGAACATTCGCGTCTTGGTACTTGTTCCAGTGGGCCACGTGCGTTTGACCATGTCCTTCGAAACCGCCAAACACGCAGCTACTCGCTGGCGCACAGCTCGCTTCGCGGGGTCAAGTCGTTGTTAAGCTTCATCCACGTGTGCACGTATGATGTGCAGCTCTCGTTGGGCGTTAAGTGCCTCATGCTGAAAGCAAATGCGGGAGTGAAGCAGTAGCAACTGAGAAAATATAAACTATGCGTCGTGACGATTCTATATGTGTTCTTAGATTATTCGTGCGGTCAGTATTGCAAGCGTTATGGTCATAAAACTTTCTGGTGGTGCATTTCATCTCGCCAGTACAATACTTTGTACTGCGTCCAGTCCCCTTCCTCGCCCAACCTCTTAGCCCCAACATGTCGACCTTATCCGATTCTGGTGTCAAGATGACGCACCGCTTCCTGGGTTGCTGGTTTCCAAGCTAAGCCTTGGTGCGCGGATGAAGTACAAGGAGGAAAATACCGTGGACGCGTGGTATGAACTGATGAAGACGACGTTCAAACGCGACGTCAACGTCTTCGACACGTCCGAGATGTATGCCAATGGCCACGCGGAGAAGCTGCAAGGAGGTGCCGTCAATAAGGGCATCGTTGATGGCGTTTAAGGTCGCGCGGATCTCGTACTTACGACCAAGCTTTTCCTCGGTTACAAGGATATCGAGACAGCGGGACCGAACGACCAAGGACTAAGTCGTAAGAAGGCACCGAGGCTTCTTTCCGCCGCATGAAACTGGACTTGGTCGACGTTCTCTTCTGTCACCGTCCCGACCCGCATACACCGATCGAGAAAACTGTACGTGTCATGAACTACGTTATCGAGCAAGAATGGGCCATTTACTGGGGCACCAGCAAGTGGCTTCCTTCCGACTTTATCGAAGCGTGCGAAGTTGCCGACCGTCTCGGTTTGGTCCGTCCCATTGAGGAGCAGGCTCAGTACAACATCCCCACCACTCGCGGGGGAGTTCAATTAAGCTGACTTGTACAAGAAGTACAAGTTGGAACTGACGACGTGGTCGCCGTTGGTGTACGGGACTCTGACGGGTAAGTACAGCTCCGGTATTCATAAAGGCTCGCGCTACATGACTCCAATGTACCAGAAGGGGGCACTACGGAACGACGTGCTGCGATGGCAGACAATCTCAAGCCTATCGCTGCTGAAATCGACTGCTCCCTAGCTCAACTGGCAATTGCATGGGTTGTTTCAGACGAAAGTGTTTCGACTGTGTTAGTTGGCGCGAGTCGCCCCTCTCAGCTCGAAGAGAGCCTGGAAGCTCTGGCGCTCGTCGACAAAATTACGATGGAAGTCAAGTCTAAGATTGACGCTATCGTCAACTCCGTGCCGACACTGGCCACGATGGAAACGTTTGCACAGGCCCCAAGCTGGATGCATCGTCGTCTTTCAAAGGCGTCAACACGCACCGGTCGTGTCATCCCCACAGGGGATGACGCTTTCTGCGACGACGCTGTACCTAGTGTCCAGATTTAGCTCTAGTTCTAACAACTTTCTTCGGAACCCCAGGCTGGCATCGCCCAGACGATGAGGCCGCCTACGCTGAAGCATAACGTTCCGGTGACGAAGACGACGTGCAGCCAGCCGTTGTATAGCGCATTTTAAAGATCGAAATTAGCTGACTGCTGGACCTACGAGAACACACATAGCCAAACAAAGTACGAAAACTAACATCGAATGATTTTAAGATAAAAAAAATAACTCGGCAATTCTTCCCGTTCCAGAAAGCCCCAAGTGAATTGAAAAAGTGGTTGGCGTCTAGCTATCAACAAAACCAGAGGTTTTTGCTTAGATGGCGAGGGCCATGATATACGAGCTAGTCTAAACCATCACAGAGTTACCATAGCTTCCTCGGCGTCGTTCAAGAGCCAAGCGAAGGTTGATGGTGGTAACCCGAACGTCTAGACTTAAAACTTGATTTTGTTCTAAATACATTTGTATCATACCGCTATCAATACTGAATACGAGATAGTTGCACATAACATGACAAGACTAATCGGACGCATTTTAATTGTGAAGTAGTTGTCGATGGGTGATTTCATCTGTCTATATATTCGACTTTTATCGGGGCCATCGAGGGATAAAAATGGGGTATAAAAATGAGCCGATTCAAAAAATACTGGAAGGCACCCTGTATACAAGGTTTAAAGTTATAGCTCTCATGTTAAAACATTTCGCCGTGTAGCAGCATAAAACGCACGGAATTACACACAACTCGCAAAAATGAATCTCGACCTGATGACTGTGGATATGCTGTAAGAGTTTATATCATACTCTGTGTGAATATAGTGCATTCAGTTTTGAAACTGCTTTTAACAGATTTTATCAGTTTAAAAACTGTTTTTGAGTGAAATGACCTCACTTAGATGTGAAAATTAAAACGGTGGCTTAGTATGGTCCAAATCCTAATAATGCGATTAGCAAAATCGTGATTTTGCAAGTAACAGCTTTAATCGCAACATGCTTTTTTTCTATTCTCCAGAGGGTGAAATAATTAACGGTTAGTGTTGCAAATTTCATATTTACCATTAAATCAGCCCAGCGCGACAACGCGTTTTGGACCCTGCCCGCAACAATTGACCAGATCCTTGCACATTCGCTGTAGGCCTGAGTGTTTTCCCTCGATGTTCTTTGTGCCATATCCGGTAATGTAAACTATCAACTCGAGGCATTTTTGTCAATTTATAAATTTTGGCCAGTAAGCGGGGGGTATTTTGCGTTCTTACTTGTCATTCGTGAAAATTGGAATAAGTAAGAAGCCCATACAGATTTATGCATTGGGATTTGGGCGGGAAAGTGAGAGAACTGGTGACTGAATAGATGGCAGCAACGTTCTTACATGTCACTTCCAGATCAGCACAATGGTTAACAAGTACACGAAGGAGGAGAAAGAAGCTATCATCGCTCAGGTTCAAGCAGGCGGCACGTTTACAGTGGTGACGTAGGGTTCGTCACGGGGGGATTGTTCTCCATGTGTCGATCGCTTCTAAGAGTAGGAGCCATTTAAATGTAAATACACTTAAATGTCAACTTTAGGAAACTAATCAGGAAGTAACGTAAGCACGTATGTGCCGGGCAAAAGGCCGCGACAGGACTGCGGTGTCTGGCGAGGCTGCTCTTCTCTGCTGCTCTCTGATGAGCGGCAGGCGTCAAAACGCAAAGTGTGGAGCAGCCTCCGCCAGAACACCGCTGTACCGCAAAAGTAGATTAGTATACAAATAGCAAATAAGTCAATACTAAACTCTAGATAAATGCACTCTCGTTTGAGTACACCATCTTGGCAGCGCACAGCCAACGATGTCCTTGTGCATACAGTCCTTGGTATAGTCCTTCGCCATTGCACGCATGTGTACTCAGTGTAGCCGGTTGTAGTGCAGCCGCAAGCTGCACTGCCAGGCGCATGAGTGTCCTTGGGATGTGTCTTTGCAGACACTGGCAGTGGACGGTGGCTCGTAGATGGGGATACCGGACACTGGCAGACTGCAATGCACTGGCGCTCGACACGCAGGTAAGTTTTATAGCTCACACTCCCACTTGATCTCGGCGACGCACTTGGAAGTCGACGCGATCACACACGCGCATCCTAGTTGCCGCCATAGTCCTAGTAGTAGCGTAGTCGCAGCTCAAAGCCAATAGCAGTCCACTCAGTAACATTACTCCCACTCGATCGCCCTCGTCTTCATCAATGTCGCTCAGGTACAGCCTCCGCATCAACAGCAGTAGTCAACGCAGTAGCAGTAGTCGTAGTTGTAGCCATGTCCTCGGATACGCTGTCGTCGCTCGACACAATAGGTAAGACTTCATAGCCTTGCGAAAGTGTGTGAACATCACCTCTGCAAGTGCCTTTGTCATTATATCTGCCACCATATCATCAGTTCCGATGTGTTGGGTTGTAAGCTGCTTCAACTCCACATGGCGTCTGATCATGTGGCACTTGTTATCGATATGTTTCGATTTCGAATGTTTGCCAGGTTTCGCAGTTAAGGCAATGGCTCCTTGATTGTCTCCCAGTAGTTGAGGTACTGGATGCTTCCAGCTCAACTCTTTGCATAGGCCAGCAAGCCACAACAAGTCCTTGGTCGCCTCTGCCATTGCTACGTACTCAGCTTCACAGGTACTGAGCGCGTTGATCTCTTGCTTGCGGGATGCGTAGGAGATGACGTTGTCGTCCAGCATAGTGATGTATTCACTGATAGTCCGTCGATCCACAGGGTCGCTCGCATAATCAGCATCAGAGTAGCCACTAACTTGCACATCAGTCTGTAGCTCCACATTCATCACTAGTCCGTAGTCAGATGTAGCCTTCAGGTAACGCAGCACCCTCTTGGCTTGTGCGAAATGCATATGATCATAGCTCGCAAGATACTTGCCCAGGTGTCGGGTAGCATGATCTATGTCAGGTCTCGATGCACTAACGAGGTACCGGAGAGCACCCACCAGTTTTCTGTAGGGAAGATACTCCTTCGAAGCAGGCACGTCTGTCTTCGAGGGCGTCGTGGCTTCTGGTGTAGCGCAGCCATTACAGTTCTCCATATGAAAGCGCTTCAACACCTCCAGTACGTACTGCTTCTGGCAGTATACTATTTGCCGGCGCGGCCGGTCAATCAGGATCTCGACACCCAAGAGATATTTGACTGTGCCCATCGTCGTGAGCTCGAATGTCTCTTGCAGTGAGGCAGCGATTGTGGCACACAGGTCACGTGAACCCATCAGCAGTAGATCGTCCACGTAAACAGTCAATAGCAACTTGACTTCACCATCCTTCCTCAATGCATATAGGCCGTAGTCAGAGTCCGTCCTAGTAAACCCCATCGCAACAAGCTTCGCATGAAGCGTGCGATTCCAAACGTTCGGTGCTTGCTTTAGTCCGTACAGGCTCTTCAACAATCTGCAAATGGATCCAGGTTCATCCACCTGGAAGCCAGGAGGCTGCTCCATGAAGATAGTCTCGTCCAAGTCTCCATACAGAAAAGCAGTCTTCACGTCGAATTGCAACACCTCCCAGCCTCTTTGTACAGCGTAGTAGATAGCCGCACGTATGGTTTCGAACCGGATCACAGGTGCATAGGTCTCAGAGTAGTTAATCCCAAGTTGTTGTTTGAATCCATGGATCACTAGTCGCGCTTTGAATAGTTTGATACGTCCACGCTCATCTCGCTTCACAGCAAAGACCCACCTACACGTTATCACCTTCACTTTCTTGGCATCTTTGCGGGGTACAAGTTTCCAGGTCTTGTGACCCTTCAACGATTGAAGTTCCACCAACATTGCAGCTCTCCACTGCTGCCAGTACTTGCTTGCACGTGCTTGTTTGTACGTCGTCGGAATCTGCACATCCGTAGTCATAGCCTGCACTAGGCCTACCACGTAATCCGACAATCGAACGTTCGCCTTCTGCTTCCTTCTTGGTCGCTTTAGGCAGGGCTCTCTTGATGAATCTCGAAGCCACTTGTCTCCTTCTCCACCATTGCAGGTTTCTTCTTTGTTCTGCGTCTCTTGCGCTTCCTCACTTCCAAACCTTCCGCGGTTTCTTCAGCAGGATCCTGCAACACGGCTAGTGCTGCAACACCAGCAGTCTCCGGACTGTCCTTGCTCACAGGTGCGTCAGCGATTGACAAACTCCCACTTGAACTTAACTCAGTTTCTGCAGGTTCGTCAGCAAGTGGTACCGTCTCAAGTGGCTTCTCCGCACTAGAGATGCCGTCACTCCAACCTGGAAGGTACGTCTCCATGTTGGTCTTGATGCGCGCCACAGGTACAGTCTCGAGTAGAGTATGATCACCATCAAAGAATACGTTCTCTAATAGATGCTTCATGTAGATGCCATCGGTCGTGAACTCTTCATGGAACTTCACATTCCCACTACGAGCTGTCACCACTTAAGCTGTCACCAGGTCA